CTGTGTCTCTCTCTCTCTCTGACCCTCCCCCGTTCATGCTCTGTTTTCTCTGTTTCAAAAATAAACGCTAAAAAAAATTTTTTTTTAAATAATAAAATAAAACATTTCAAGCAAGCACACAAACAACATATACATTTCTGGGGGAGAGGGCACATTTCAGTCCATTGTACCTACTCAAGAGTGTCCCTTCTTATAACAGTAATGATTGCAGTAACAAACATAATTCGAGAGCTTGTTCTGTGCCGGCACATGCAGGTGAGGGAACCGGGCGTAGTTCTTTAGCTAGACTAGGGTCACAGTTGGTACGCTGTCGTAGCACTAAGATTTTCGCCCAGGCAGCCTAACAGTAAAGCTCAAACTCCTAATTCTCTCCCTGTTCTGCCTTAACTAGAGGAAAAATGATTTTGAGATCTGAACAAGTGAATTCAGGAATTTACTATTTTAGTTATCACACTTTTGAACTGGGTACAGAAGGGCTCCAAATATCAAAATGATTCTTTTGATAACTACTCATAAGAAAATAAACCAGACAGGGGCGCCTGGATGGCTCAGTCAGTTAAGCGTCCGACTTCATAAACCCGAGGTTCTTGAGTTCGAGCCCCGTGTCAGACTCTGTGCTTACAGCTCTGAGCCTGGAGCCTGCATGGGATTCTGTGTCTTCCTCTCTCTCTGTTCTTCTCCCGCTTGCACCCTGTCGTCTCTCTTAAAAATAAATAAAGATTAAAATAAATAAAAAAAAAAAAGAAACCAGACCCCCCCCCCCAAAAAAAAAAATGCAGACAACAGAGACTAAGAGGAAAGCACAACTCTGAGGAGTTTACAAACACCAGTGTGGAAGGAGTGACTCTCTGAATGCCAATCAGATGAGACACACATCACAGAAAACAACCAGAAGTGATGACCTATCAAACTGGCCAAGCAGGAAACGACGAGTGATGTATCTATCACTCCCAGGGTCCAGTGAGGGCCTAGGGAACCAGCATGGTCAAATACTGCTGGTGAATATTTATCTGCATTCCTTCCAGAGAGGAAATCTGAAAATACATGTTTAAAGCTTCTCGTATGTGTTCTCGTCACCAAGTAAACATGGGTACTTAAAAACGTCAAGATGTACGCAAAAGTTTATGTATAAGGGCAGTCATGATATTGCTTCACAGATCAATTTATATATATTCTGGTAGGTAAAACATACTATTTTTTAAAAAGTTGAGAAAACACAGATATTTTTAAAGAGACAGAAACAAAGAGCTTTGGATATTACTTGTCAGAATTAACCAGTGTTATAATTGGGCTCTTCTCTCGGTCACATATATATACCTATACTTTCATAACTCGTTGCTTTGTAACTTATTTATTTTTAATGCTTATTTCAAGAGAGAGCATGTGTGTGTATGAGTACGCAAGCAGGGAAGGGGTAGACGGAGAGAGAATCCCAAGCAGGCTCCACACTGGCAGTACAGAGCCTGATGTGGGGCTTGATCTCATGAACCAGGAGATCATGACCTGAGCTGAAAACAAAGAGTCAGATGCTTAACTGACTGAGCCACCCAGACACCCCTGAAACTTTTTTTTTTTTAAGTCATCTTGGCAAGTTATTGATGCCAAAAATAGATTCATGTCACTTTTAATGAATGCCTAGTATTTTGCTCCATGAAGAGCATATTTGAATCAACTCTTGATGGGTTTTTTTTTTTTTTAGCGTTTTTTATTATTATTTTAGAAAGAGAGAGGAGAGTGCAAGTGGGGGAGAGAGGCAGAGGGAGAGAGAGATTTTTTTTTTAATTTTTAAAAAATGTTTACCTTTGAGAGAGACAGAGTATGAGTGGAAGAGGAGCAGAGAGAGGGGGAGACACAGAATCCAAAGTAGCTCCAGGCTCCGAGCTGTCAGCACAGAGCTGGACGCGGGACTTGAACCCACCAACCGTGAGATCATGACCTGAGCCCAAGTCGGACGCTCAACCGACCGAGCCACCCAGGCACCCCCCTCAATAATTTTTTTTTAAAGGAGGAGGGATTAGTCACTTTGAATACCTAAAAGAAATCTAGAGAGAAATATTCTTTGGATGGGGCTCGGAGGACAAGAAAATAAGTATCAGATGAGGAAACAAAGCCCAATGAGGAAGCGAGGGCCAGGAGCGGATCTGAGCAGGAAGGAAAAGCTAGCCTCGGATGGAGAGAAGACCACTACCCTCCGACAGGGTGAAGGAGGGAAGGGTGTGTGTGGAAGCAGCGTAGACAGCGGGTGCGGCACTGAAATCCCAGGGGAGGCAGAGGCTGCCACTCGTGGTGAGGGGAGGGTGGGGGCGGCTTGCCGGGAGTCGCCCGTCTTCAGCATCACTGCAACAAGGACGCGGCACTTAAGTCACTTGCCTGAGTGCTCTTCCCACGCACTGGCAGCACCTGCTGTCAAAATGGGCTCTGTTCTCGTCTCCCTCACGCCCCCACGTTTACACAAGTATCTGAAATTCATCTGAAAAACACTGTCACACACCAAGCATCCGGGCACCATCCCCAGTATTTCTCACACGGGAAAGCTGCTCTTCTTTTCATTAATGTTTTTAAGGTTGATTTATTTACTTAGAGAGAGACAGAGACGTGCAAGTCGGGGAGGGGCAGGGGAGGCGGAGAGTCCCAAGCAGGCTCAGTGGCATCAGCGCAGAGCCCCACGCAGGGCTTGAACTCCTCAGCTGTGAGATCCTGACCTGAGCCGAAACCAAGAGTCGGACGCTTAACCGGCCGAGCCACCCGGGCGCCCCGTCTGCACCACCTTTACTCCTCCGGGTGTCACTCCTGTTCTCAGATCCTACTCAGCACTGAGAGAAATCAAACAAACACTGATTCAAGTTTACAGGTAACGAATTATGGGAACACTTTCCACAAAGCTCACGCAGTCACGGGGTAGAGGTAATTCTGCGTTTCCGCTTTGCTCTCTACAAAGCAAGTCTTCCAAGCCTGATGCCAACGTTTCTCTCACCACTCCAGGTCTCTGAGTTACAGAGGACGGAAGGGAGGCGGATCACAGGAACTCAAACCCCACCACGTGATTCCCGACGGAGGCAGGAAGTAGAAAGAAGAGCCGCGGGAGGGAGGGAAGCGGCACCGGTCCTAACCTGCAGCCTCTTCCGTGGGAAACCGAGGGAAGCTGTGACGAGGGCCCACGCCCTTTTGGTCCCGGAAGTCCCAGCCGGCTATCACCGGGAGGACCGGAGACTAACAGGAATGGAGATGCTCTGCCCCCTGTTCTCAAGCCCTCCCGAGCTCACCCTCTCGCCTCCAGGCTTCCAGTACAAATAACAACCTCCTCCCCTGCACCGCGAAAGCCCCAGCTGGGCCTCAGACCATATTAGCTTCTGGTAACTCAGAACTATAGGCGGGCAGCCCAGAGGCAGGATGTGAAGAGGCGGGCTGATTTCTGGCAGGGGAGAAAGGGAAAGCGAGGAGACAGCGGGCCTGGGTTTTAGTAACCTCAGAACCTTTCCCAGGACACCCGAAGTACTTATGGAAGGAAAACAATCTTTACTAAGGCAAAGTCCAATAATCCACGACTTCCCGCAAATCCGCTTGTGATTTCCTCGAATAAAATTAGTATTTGACAACAGCGCTATCATGTTACGGCGAACTACTGTTTGACATCAACGTGACGTTCAGTTTCCTTTTGAAACGTAAAAC